AACAAGAGGAACAAGAGTGATTTGTGTGATTTAGGACAGGTTATTGATCACTGATGGATCCCTATTTCTTCTTATTCATTTACAAAATTAAGATATGAAATATCTAATATATGATGATATTTAATAATGCTTCTTTGTTTTTATTTATCTGAGAGTCAGAGTACGGGGTAGGGAGGGAGAAGAAAGGAGAGGAAAAGGAAAGAGATCTTCCATCTATGGGTTCACTCCCAAAATGCCTGCTACAACCAGGTCCCAGGAATTCCATCCAAGTCTATCCTGTAAGCATCAAGGACCCAAGTATTTGAGCCATCGCCATGATGCCTCTCAGGTGAGCATTAGCAAGAAGTTGGATTAGAAACAGAGGTGGGACTTGGAACTGGGCACTGTGATACATAATGAAGTTTAATTCACTGTGCTACAGTGTTCGCTCTTCAATCATCTTTAGATATAAAGATTTTAGCCAAAACATGATTGTCACACATATAATTAAGGATGTTTAGATGCCTGGCAACTCCTGCTGAAAGACCTGCTCTATAAAAGCTTGTGAAGATGACCAAGTTTGACTCTCAACTATCCTCATTTCAGTACTTTTCCACCAATTGCCTGCCCATGAACATCCTCAAGGGTTGACTGCCTACATGTCTTGAAGAATTTTCAGAGCCATATTCATGCCCATAAATGGCATGTGGGTTAATGCCCTGGCCTGAAATGTCAGCATCCCATATGGGCGCCGGTTCTAGTCCCAGCTGCTCCACTTCTCATCCAGCTCTCTGCCATGGCCTGGGAAAACAGTATAAGATGGTCCAAGCCCTTGGGCCCCTGCACCCACGTGGAAAACCTGGAAGAAGCTCCTGGCTCCTGGCTTCAGATCGGCACAGCTCCAGCTGTTGCAGCCAATTGGAGAGTGAACAAGCAGATGGAAGACCTCTCTCTCTCTCTGTCTCTCCTCTGTCTGTGTAACTCTGACTTTCAAATAAATACACAAATCTAAAAATATATATATATATTCCATATTTCAATTAGTCAGCTACTGCTATCTAACAAATCATTCTGAAACCTAATGGCTCAAATTTTAAGGCCTAAAACAATCATCAGCTATCATATCTCATGAACTATGGCTGTGCTGGGCGTGTTGACCTGGAATGATACCAGCTGATCTCAACAAGGTCCACTGGTAATTCTGTAGTCAACAAGCCAATCTGCTGGGGCTGGTCAGTCTAGGCTGGCATCCATGAGTGTGGAAGGGTTGGATAATACAGCTGAAGCAAGCAAAGTCTCTTGAGACATGGACTTGGGACTAGCACATTTTTATTTCTGCCACATTTCATTAACAAGTAACAAGGCCAGACACCGTCTCTTAATGGGAGGAGCTATGAGGTCACATAGCAAAAGACATCATTAAAGAGAAGAGTAGAAAATTTTAAACCATTTTCAATCTACTATCAAAACTTAATTTGATCTCTATCCTACTCTCTCAGAACATAGCTGAGTGCCAGCTAGAAATAGGTCATTAATGAAGACCACAAATTTTTCAAGGATGAGGGTGAATAAGCTTTTAATCTTGGTATCCTTGATTAGTACATTAAGAGAGTTAAAGCAAGCCCTCAAGACATACTTGTTGAAATGACACAAAACTAACTTACAAAGATATTTTAATGCTTACCATGGAAAATGTCTTACCTACCCTTTCTTCTCTAAATCAACAATTTAGAGATGTGCTTTATAGAAGGTTTCATCTGTGCTATTACACACCGTTGGAAAAATTTGAAAGTGGCAATTGTCCTATATAGCATATTTAAAAACTTTTATTTAGCTTATAACTTTTTTATAGTATGCTGAAAATTCAATATGTTTCTTCACTAATGAGCAATAGAATAATGTCAGTTGATAGTTCGACAGAGGAAGGCATTTGGTATAGTGGTTAACACATTGCTTGGGATGTTCATGTCCCATAGCAGGGTGCTTGAGTTTCAGTCTAGCTCTACTACTGATCCCAGGTTTTTGTTAACATGCACACTGGGAGGCAGTAGTTAATGGCTCAAGTACTTGGGTTCCTATAACACACCAGGATGATGCAGATTAATTTCCTCTCTCTTGGCTTCAGCCTGATCCATCCCCACCTGTGGCCATCATTTAAAGAGTAAATCAGTGGATGAAAGATTCATTCTCTCTCCTTCTCTCCCCCTCTCCCTCTCTCCACCTCTCCCCCTCTCCCCCTCTCTCCCTCTCTCCCTTTCTCCCTCTCTCCCTCTTTTCCTCTCTCCCTTTCCCTCTCTTTCACTCTCTCATTCACCCTCCCTTTTCAAATCAATTAAATAAATAAGAACACGTGGAAAAATGCAGATAAAGAAATATAAATTAACATATCATGTGGCATTAGGTTTCTTTATATTCTAGGTGATTTAAGGCCAACACTAGTGTCTCCTTCCTCCCTGCTCTATTCTTAGAGTACTCCACACAAGACAAAATACCTGCTGTGATTCCCTTTATATATATTTCATCCCCACTTATGATTAAAAAAAAACTTTCAATTCCCGTCTAACAATTACATTTTACTGCCAATAGTTGGACTAAATATGATTTGTTACTTTGAGAAATAAATATTTTTTATAAAGAACAAATAGAAATGTGTGTTTGAAACAACTTAATAATCCATGGGTGGTTACAGACACAATCACTACAAAAAATGATTTGGGCAGAAACTTCCATTTCATACTGGTTTCTCAATAAGCACTTCTGTAAGTAACAAGATATTGGAACAAATAGGCTATTAGAATTTTTGACCATATTCTGTTCTTTGATGTGGTTTTTGATCACAATCAAAACTGAACACCACTGAGAGTTCTTTTAAACTTTTTCTGTATCCTGTGAAAAACAGGGATAATTACAGAACTTATACCAAAGAATATGTATGACAGTTAAATTACCTAATTCACATAGATGTTAAGTATGATTGCTGACTTTTATAACTAATCATCACTATTAGCTGTAGCTCTGTAATTTGCTTCATGAAGTAGTCATTGCTGTAGCACAAAGATAGGATTCTATGCATAAGTGATGACTGTACCACATTCCAAGATGTCGCTCCCCGTCTTCGTGGAGGAACGACACAGGACCCTGCGCTGTTCTTCTGTCTGCTCGGCCCTCCCCGGGTTGGCTGCTGGTCCTTCCCGGGTTGGCTGCTGTCCCTTCCACCTCCGTGGAAGGGCGGTTCCCCCTGGCCACATTCCCCACTTCCGCAGGGGAGCGGCACACCGCCGGCCGGCTCTCTCGGGGGCTGCACAGGTGTTCCTTCAGCTAGATGTTCCCCTTAGATGTTCCTGGTGAATGCCGTCTCTCTCCTCCTTTATAGTCCTCCTCCGCCAATCCTAACTCGGCTGCCCACACGCCGAGTACGCTGCTCTCCTCCAATCAGGAGTAGGTCCTACAGTTTATTGGTTGAACTGGAGGCAGCTGCGTAGAAGCTGTTTTCTTCTCTCCCAGCGCCATATTGTGGGAGAGCAGATGCATAGAATAAGTCTTAATTCCAGTAACAGTCTAGTCCGGGTTGCTCCCCACACAAGAGAGCACAGAGCTTGGTGCATTGCTCATAATAATAATAACAATATTATCAACAATGGTAGTTGAGTGTGAAAAATAACAGGTCACTTTATCCAAGTAACCTACCTACTAAGGAAGAAGATGAAATATAACTATACCAGTATCTAACACATGAATAAGTCAATATTAATGAAAACTATGAGTAAAATTCAACATCCAAAAATTGTTTATGCACTCCCAAAAAGTATAAAATGAATTCTCTGTATGAAAAAACAAAATTAAATAACTATGTGATATAAATAAATAGCAGATGGAAAAATATATCTATGACATTGGGGTAGAAAATTATTCCATTAAGAAACAAAAAGTATGATTCAAGATGGAAAAGATTAATATGTTCAGTCCCTTTAAAAAAAAAAACAACATTTTACAGGAAGCAAATGATGTCATAAATAAATTTTTTAAGTAAACCACTAATGGGGAGAAGATAATTGCAATACAAACTGACATGGTAAGGATAACATATATATATACACACACACACACATATATGTACATATGTATCCATCTATAAGTGAATATGAAAAAATATAACGTGCAAGGATATGAATATGAAATTTACAGAAACTTGAATGGCCACTAAACAACAGAAAAAAGCCTCTGCTTCCCTAATACAAATTAAAACAACAAACTATAACACATCATCAGGTTGACAAAAAATTTTTGTCTGGCAAAATCAGACAAATGTAAGTTAGTAAGAAATAAAAAATCTGACTGGCCAGGCATTGCTGGTGGTACTAGAAATCCACACCATTTTGCAAGTCTTTTGTCATACCTAGAGAGTGTGACAATGTATATATTCTATAACCTAGCTATACCAATATCTGCCATGTACTTTAGAAAAAAACTCCTAAATACATAATATGACATACATGCCAAATGAGATATGTACAGGAGTATTTATAGAAAAAGCACCATTTCGGGGCTACAACTGTGACATAAGATGTTGGGCAGCATCCCATACGGGTGCCAGTTCGAGTCCCCTCTTCTGATCCAGCTCTCTGCTATGGCCTGGGAAGGCAGTAGAAGATGGCCCAAGTGCTTGGGCTCCTGCACCCATGTGGAAAAACGGGAAGAAGTTCTTGGCTCCTGGCTTCGGATTGGCACAGCTCCGGCCATTGCGGCCATTTAGGGAGTAAACCAATGGATGGAAGACCTTTCTGTCTGTCTCTCCCTCTCTCTGTAACTCTGCCTCTAAATAAATGAACAAATCTTTTTTGCAAAAAAAAAAAAAAGAGTAAATTTCATGTAAATTGTGTTAAAGTCATGAAATGGAATATTTCAGTGCTTAAAATTAAGAAATAGAATTAAAAACATATATTGTCTTAGTTCCATCCAGGCTTCTATAACAGAATACCTTAGACTGAGTAATTTATAAACAATAGAAACTTATTTCTCACAGGTCTAGAGAATGGGATGTCCAAGGTCAGTCCAGCAGATTTGGTGTCTGATAAGAGCATGTTTTCTGCTTCAAATATTGTGCCTTCTTACTTCATCCTTTCCATAAAAGAAAGACAAAAAAAAAACTCCCTTAAGCTTCTTTTATGAAGGACTATTCCCATTCACGCAGGATGAGCCTTCAGGAATTAACCACCTCCTAAAGGTCTTACCTGTTACAATATTTGTATTAGTTTTTTCTTACTACAATTAAAACCTGAGTCAACCAACTTTCTAATGTTTATTTAACTCACATTTTTGGAGGTTCAACCCAGTATCAGGTGGGCACATTGGTTTAGCCTCTGATGAGCGGCCATGGTGGGCTATATGCAGAGGAAAAAAATCACAGGGGGAGCTAGAGAGGGTGGGTGTGCCCAAACTCAGGTTCACATCAACCCTCTCATGACAGCACAATAGCTCAAAGGTGAACTGCTTTCCTAGAGGTTGGACACATGACCTAAGGACCTCCTGCTGAATACCACTTTTTAAACATGTGATTGGATTCAATTTCTACACTCTTGGTACTATTAGCATAGGACTTTGGGAATTTTACATTTTTACATTTCACAGTGTGGGAGCCAGATCCTAATCAAATTACAAAACTTCCTCACTGGGGATTAGTTAGCAACACACAAATTTTGAGGGAACACCAGCATTCAGCCCTTGGCATATATCATACAGAGAAGTCTTAAGTAATTTTGAATAAGAAATTGAAAAACGCTATACAAAATATGACATTATTTACATAAAATGTAAACACAAAAGATGTATTATATACATGAAGTATGAATACTCACTGATTTCAGGTAATTAGTTACATCTGGGCAAGAAAATCTGATGGTGGGTGAGAGAACTCACAGAGTACACAAACTCGGTAAACTTGGCAACCCAGTGGGAGACTGCAGAGAAATTTGAAACCACACTAAGGGCTGCATAGACCCTTTGTGTGGTCCTTGGGGTAGAGCGGACAAATACCCACAGAGGCCGGATTTTATACATGGACTACCCTCAATTCCTCTCAGCTGTGTGGAATTACTTCCCTTCTGAGTCAAAAGAGAGAGAGAGAGAGAGAGAGAGAGAGAGAGAGAGAGAGAGAGAGAACAAACTGGGTGAGTCACCTTTGACACACCCTTAACACTGAAGAACTAAACAGAGCTCTCTGGCCACACCCATCACAGCCTCTAAGGACCCATCAAAAGCAGACAGTCCACTTAATTTAGAGTTGTATTATAATGAGAAAAACCACTACAGCAAAGAAACCAAAGAATATCTCCACAATGCCAAACAACAAATGCAGAAACTGAGGAAACAAGAACAAGGAAGACACTATGATGCCCCCAAATGAACAAGACACCCCAATTCAAGATTATGAAGATGACGAGATAGAAGAAATGCAAGAAACGGATCGCAAAAAAATGATAAAACATTAAGAAGTTCTCAAAAACAAATTCTTGAACTACAGAAATCCTTACTGGACAGAATAAAAAATCTCTCTCATGAAAATGAAATATTAAGGAGGAATCAAAATGAAATGAAGCAACTAGTAGAACATGAAACTGTGACAGTGAAGAGAAATCAAAATGAAATGAAGAATTCAATAGATCAAATGACGAACACATTAGAGAGCCTTAAAAAGAGAATGGGTGAAGCAGCAGAAGAGAGAATATCAGACTTAGAAGACAGAGAACAGGAAAGTATATAGTCAAACCAAAGAAAAGAAGAGGAATTAGAAATCTAAAAAATACTGTTGGGAATCTACAGGATATTATTAATAAACGCAACAATTTGGTTCTAGGAGTTCCTGAAGGCATGGAGAAAGAGAAAGGATTAGAAGGCCTTTTTAGTGAGATACTAGCAGAAAATTTCCCAGGTTTGGAGAAGGACAGAGACATCCTAGTACAGGAAGCTGAGAGAACCCCTAATAAACATAACCAAAAGAGATCCCCACCATGACACAAATTAATTAAACCCACCACAGTGAAACAGAAAGAAAAGATCCTAAAATGTGAAAGAGAGAAATGTCAGATTACTCTCTGAGGATCTCCAATCAGACTCACAGCTGACTTCTCATCAGAAACCCTACAGGCTAGGAGGGAATGGCAAGATATAGCACAGGCACTAAGAGAAAAAAACTTCCAGCCCAGAATATTATATCCTGCAAAGCTCTCATTTGTGAATGAAGGTGAAATAAAGACCTTCCATAGCAAACAGAAATTGAAAGAAATTGTCGCCACTCGTCAAACCCTGCAAAAAATGCTTAAAGATATACTACATGTATATTAAGAGAATCGAAAATGAATCTTGATGTGAATGGAAGGGGAGAGGGAGTGGGAAAGGGGAGGGTTGCGGGTGGGAGGGACAGTATGGGGGGGAAGCCATTGTAATCCATAAGTCGTACTTTGGAAATTTATATTCATTAAATAAAAGTTAAAAAAAAAAAAAAGATGTACTACACACAGAAACACAGAAACATGGCCATCGATATGAAAGAAGGTAAAGGAAGAAAACCTACCAGTAAAAGAGCATAGGAAGGTCAAAGCATATACTAGAAAATATATCTGGGAAAATGACAGGGCAAAGTTTTTACTTATCAATAGTCACATTGAACATTAATGGACTCAACTCTACAGTTAAAAGGCACAGACTGGCTGAGTGGATTAAGGAACAAAACCCATCTATTTGCTGCCTACAAGAAACACATCTTTCCAACAAAGATGCATACAGACTGAAAGTGAAAGGTTGGAAAAAGATATTCCATGTCAACAGAAACCAAAAAAAAAAAGCAGGTGTAGCCATATTAATATCACACAAAATAAACTTTAACACAAAAGCTGTTAAGAGAGATAAAGAGGGGCACTATATAATGATTAAGGGTTCAATTCAACAGGAAGATATAACTATTATCAATGTATATGCACCTAATTACAGGGCACTGGTTTATTTAAAAGGTATGTTAAGGGACTTAAAGGGAGACTTAGATTCCAATACAATAGTACTGTGGGACTTCAATACTCCACTCTCAGAAATAGATCAACTGGACAGAAGATCAACAAGGAAACAGCAGATTTAATTGACACTATTGCCCAAATGGATCTAGCAGATATCTACAGAACTTTCAATCCTACATTTAAAGATTTTACATTCTTCTCAGCAGTACATGGAACCTTCTCTAGGATTGACCACATACTAGGCCATAAAGCAAGTCTCAGCAAATTTAAAAGAATTAGAATCATACCATGCAGCTTCTCAGACTGCAGTGGAATGAAGGTGGAAATTAGCAACTCAGGAATTCCTAGAGAGTATGCAAACACATGGAGATTGAACAACATGCTCCTGAATGAACAATGGGTCATAGAAGAAATCAAAAACTTTCTGGAAGTAAATGAGGATAACAACACAACATATCAAAACTTATGGGATACAGCAAAAGCAGTGTTGAGAGGAAAGTTTATAGAAATAGGTGCCTACACCAAGAAATTGGAAGGGCACCAAGTAAATTAGCTTTCAACACATCTCAAGGATCTAGAAAAACTGCAGCAAACCAAACCCAAATCTAGTAGGAGAAGAGAAATAATTAAAATCAGAGAAGAAATCAACAGGATTGATTCCAAAAAAAAAATTACAAAAGATCAGCCGAGCGAAGACCTGGTTTTTTGAAAAAATGAATACAGTTGACACACCATTGGCCCAACTAAATAAAAAAAAGAAAAGACCCAAATCAATAAAATCAGAGATGAAAAAGGAAATGTAACAACAGACACCACAGAAATAAAAAGAATCATCAGAAATTACTACAAGGAATGTATGCCAGCAAACGGAAATCTTTCAGAAATGGATAGATTCCTGGACACATGCAATCTGCCTAAATCGAACCATGAGGACATAGAAAACCTAAACAGACCCATAACTGAGACAGAAATTGAAACAGTAATAAAGGCCCTCCCAACAAAGAAAAGCCCAGGACCAGATGGATTCACTGCTGAATTCTACCAGACATTTAAAGAAGAACTAACTCCATTTCTTCTCAAACTATTCAGAACAATCAAAAAAGATGGAATCCTCCCAAATTCTTTCTATGAAGCCAGCATCACCTTAATCCCTAAGCCAGAGAAAGATGCAGCATTGAAAGAAATTTACAGACCAATATCCCTGATGAAGATAGATGCAAAAATCCTCAATAAAATTCTCGCCAATAGAATACAACAACACATCAGAAAGATCATCTACCCAGACCAAGTGGGATTTATCCCTGGTATGCAGGGATGGTTCAATGTTCGCAAATCAATCAATGTGATATACCACATTAACAGATTGCAGAAGAAAAACCATATGATTATCTCAATAGATGCAGAGAAAGCATTTGATAAAATTCAACACCCTTTCATGATGAAAACTCTAAGCAAACTGGGTATGGAAGGAACATTCCTCAATACAATCAAAGCAATTTATGAAAAACCCATGGCCAACATCCTATTGAATGGGGAAAAGTTGGAAGCATTTCCACTGAGATCTGGAACCAGACAGGGATGCCCACTCTCACCACTACTATTCAACATAGTTCTGGAAGTTTTAGCCAGAGCTATTAGGTATAATATATATAATTATTAACTCGCATCATCATGTTCTGTATATTCTCAAAACAGAACAACATTAGCAACACAGTTTAGAAAAATCATCATCAGAAAAGTTAACATTTTTGTTTTAGGTTTGAAATCTAATGATTTTCATTTCTGTTGTTCACATTGCTATAAAAGCTCTAAACCAAAGATGTGACTCTTAGGGTGGGAATTGCAAACACAGTTTAAGGTCAAGATTTTTGAAGGTGTAGAACATTTGTTTCATTTGGTAGAGTTTGCTACTTTCACTCAGACTGTCCCCACCCCCTGAGAGTGCTATTGAAAGTAGATTATCTAGGGAAGGGAGAAAAAATAATTCTCAAAGTATAACTCTAAGATTCTTTGTGTATAGAAAGAATATATCAGCTTTTAAACAATACAAAACAAAACAAAAATAACCATTAATAATATACCATGAAATTTAACTTGATGTATCTGTTACTTCCAATTACAGTTCTAGTGTAATTGTCTTCATATTTAATAAACAGAAAAAATGCATTTTAATAAGGAAAATTGGACCTGCTGGTGGTATTTGCAAAGGATGAAAGGAGATTATGATACTGACTTTGATAGTGTTTTATAAATTATTTTTAAGTGGACAGGAGAAAGGCTATGTTGGCATTCTAATTCTCTTGATTAAGAATTAAGAAGCAAAAGAATGTGCATCAGGTAACAGGAAAGTCTATGAAATGCTGTAGGGTATCAATGGAATACTTTAATGATATGGAATCTCTGCATATTTTTAAGATCTCTTCATTTCATCTATTCTCTCTGTCCTTT